CCGGGGCCGATGCCAACAAGGGGGTTACACAGTCCCAGCGACTGGAAAAGGTTGCCAACTTCTCCCAAGAAGCCGTCCCTGACCATGTGAGGCCGCATCACTCTCGTCCTTGCAATCTCAAGACCCTTTCGACGGGGGCTGAATCCACTCAAATACAGAACAGGATTTCAAAACTGAGTCCCGGATGGAAACCAAACTGACCGCTGTGGGCAGTCAGGTGGATGCGCCAACCCCTCAGGGTGCAGCCTGTGCTGGGGGCCAGGGAGGGAGCACCACGCGGGAGGCAGCCTGGTGCTGGGCCAGCCTAGGGACCGCGGGCAAATCTCCTCCTGGGCTGGGCACCCACCCGAGGCTGGCGGTCCCGGCGTTGATTTGGGGCTGTGCACGCACACAAGCCCCACGGGAAGCGTGAGGGGCTGGCGCGAGGCAGGACAGGAGGGTCCCGGTGAGGAGAGGACCCCGGGGGTGCACACACCCAGCCCTGCACCAGAATGAAGCACCGCCCACCACTCGCCGTGATGAGCTCCTCGGCCCCACAGGTGATGTTAGGCCCCGGAACCAGACCAGGGGGAGCGCGTGGCTCCAAGGAACCTGTCACTCCCTTCTGTACAGCGGAGCCTGAGCCCAATCCCCCCTGTGCCCTGGCTGAAGGGCTGGATGGGAGAAAGGACAGGACTGGACTCTTGCCCTGAAGGCGGGAGGAATGAGAGGTGAGGCAGGACAGGACAAAGGGGGAAGGCACTGGCTAAGGCAAAGAAGAGGGACTGGAAGGGATGCTGGTGCCCGGTCCTGGGACATGGAGGGGAGGGGAGGGAAGGTCTGGATGGGGCCGAGGGACTAGAACTCAGCCAAGCCCCATTTACAGCTGGAACCCTTGACTCTGACTTCCAAACCATCCCCAGCTTTGCGACTCCTTTAGGGCACTGGTTTCCCAGTTATCAGCAGCAAGTCTCTGGGAAGCGGCAAAAGGGCTGCACGCCTGCTTCTGAGGGGCGGGGAGGCCACCTGCCATTAGGGAGGGGCCTTGGCCGGAGCAGCTGGCGGGAGGGGGTAGGGGTGGGGGGAGAGCAGGGAGCAGGCTGTGGTCGAGGAACAGAAGACCAGCAGCTGCCCCAGAGCCAAGAGGGGCCCCTGGGGGTCTGCGACCCCAGAAGGACCCACTGGGGTGAAAGTTCCATCAGGGACGGGCCAGGGAGGCTCCTGTCTCCCTCCCAGGCCCACCACAGCTCAGGGCTCAGCCGGCATCGCCGGGGTGTCTGTGACCCAGGGAAGTTCACCATGGACTCCCAGCTTCAGCTCTGACGGGGACACCCTGGGCCCTGAAGCTCGGTTCTGAGCCTGCTGGCTCCCTGGGCACCTTTGGTTCCTGATGCCCCTCTCGTGCCAAGGCCCAGCCCAAGTCCTGCAGCGCAATTAGTACCAACTGAGCAAGTGAGCAGACACCAAGGGGAGCTGGAGTGTGACCAGACCCTGAAGCTCTGAGCGGGGAGCAGGGATAAGGCCGATCTCCGTGCCAGGCCTGCCGGGCCTCAGAGTGCCTTTCCTGGCTCAGGGCCCTGCTCCCCCGGCTCCCCCCGCTCCCAGGGCAGCCCTTACCTTCACTTCCTGGATCATCTTTGCTACCTCCACCTTAGTTTTTCCTTTGATTGACCTGCCATTGACACCGGTGATCTCATCGCCAGCTGCCACAGTGCCGTCCAGGGCTGCCGGCGTGTTGTCAAATACCTGGGGTGCAGCAGGGGGAGGGGAGTGCTAAGACACCCGGCGGGAGACAGTCATTCCCTTCGCCCCAACTAGTGCCTGGCTCCGTCCTGGCCTCTATCCTCCCGTCTCTCTCTCTCTTTTTTTAAATATATGTTTTGACTGACTTCAGAGAGAGGGAGAGGGAGAGAGAGAAACATCAGTGATGAGAGCGAATCATCGATAGGCTGCCTCCTGCACACCCTCTACTGGGGATCGAGCCCAAAACCCAGGCATGTGCCCTGACCAGGAACCAAACAGTAATCTCCTGGTTCATGAGTCAACGCTCAACCACTGAGCCACACCGGCCAGGCGCCTTCCTGTCTCTCAGGTACTAGAGAAGGGCAGGGTAGAGAAGCCTGAACAGACAGAAGCACATGAGCCCACATTCTTGGAGGGGGAGGAGGACAGAAGGTCGATGCAAACTGATGAGACTTGCCTTTCTAACGCCAAACACACCCAACCTGACACACCCGAGTGTTTGCTCCTCCGGTCATTTTTTAAAAGGTTTTTCTAACAATGCTCTTCCAAGCTGATACTGACTTATTTATTTATTTTTTAATATTTTTTTTATTTCATGGAGGAAGGGAGAAGGAGAGACAGAAACATCAATGATGAGAGAGAATCATTGATTGGCTGCCTCCTGCATGCCCCACACCGGGGATGGAGCCTGCAACCCAGGCATGTGCCCCTGACCGGAATCGAACCCGGGACCCCCCCAGTCTACAGGCCAACGCTCTATCCACTGAGCCAAACCAGGTAGGGCCAAGCTGGTACTGATTTAGCCAAAATTACAAAATAACTACGCTGCGAAGACAAGGTGAGAGGAAGTGGAGTGGTTTGAAGAGAGAGAGGCTAAGCGGGCACATGGCAGGAGGCCAGGCCCCGGGGCGCCTCCCTAATACCTCCTCCTGGGCCAGGAGAGGCCAAACCCCTCATGAAGGCAGCACCCTGAGGCGGTGAGACCAGGTCCCCGGAATCTCCGTTGTCAGGACCTAGAAGCGACCCTTTGCAAGATCCTCAGAGACTGGACTTTCCCATCTGCCACCAATGGCCACTTAGCTGTCAGAACAGGTTTGAATCCAGGTCAAGTTTATGTCCAAGGTGGCAAGCTTCCCTCCAGGGCTGCAGAGAGATCACTGCCTGGCCCCACCCCTGAGCCACAGCTGACTGAGTATCGCCAGGCAGCTTCCTCCACAAGGGACCACAGAAGTGTTCATTACCGCCGGCAGATCAGCTGGAGAGTGAACTAATGCCATAAAAATACAGTGGGGCCTTGACTTACAAGTGTCCCGACTAACGAGTTTTTTTGAGATACAAGCCATCTCTCGGCCGATTTTTTGCTTTGAGTTGCAAGCTCAAAAAAATTCGGGTTGCCCAAGTAGGAGGTGGCCCGTCCCCTCCAGGACCTCACCCCCATCCCAGCTTCAGATACCCCACCGCTAGTTGGCACAGTGAACGTCACAGTGATTTGACATACGAGTAATTTGAGTTATGAGCTCTGTCACGGAACGAATTAAACTCGTAAGTCAAGGCCCCACTGTATAGCATCTGTGCCCTGGCTAGTGTGGCTCCGTTGGCTGCGTTGTCCTGTGCACCAAAAGGTGACAGGTTCGATTCCTAGTCAGGACACATGCCCAGGTTGTGGGTTTGGTCCCCAATCGATGCTTCTCTCACCTCTCTTTCTCTCTCCCTCCCTCTCTCTCCCTCTCCCTCTCCCTCTCCCTTCCTCTCTAAAATCAAAACATGTTGTTGTTTTTTTAAAGTAAAATTAGCAGTAGCTACTATTTAATGAGTACTTATTGCGTGCCAGACGTTGTGTTATGTCATTTTATTTAATCTTCCCAACAACCCGAAGATGCTCATCTTTACATATTTTATATCCCCACTTTTCAGGTGAAGAAACGGAGGCCCAGGGAGGTTAATTAACTTGCTAATAAGCAGGGACGCTTGCATTTGAACTCAGGCCAATGTCATGTCATAGTCTTTTAGTCTTTCCACTACACTTCACTTGTGCTAGTACCGAAGGCTGACAGCTTTGTTGACTCATTAAAGATATTTTATCGAGGGTCCACTCTTTGCCAGGTGTTATACCAGGAGCTGACTGCTGTGAAAAGCAACCTGGGCCCTGCCCTCGCAATAGAAAGAGTCTGAAAAAGCAGCCAGATACAGAACAACCGGAGAGCAAACCCCCACTTACAGATGGTGGTAAGTGCTGAGAAGGAAAAGCAGAGACTGAAATAACAGAGAGAGACAAGGGCAGACCTGTGAGAGGGGGTGGTCAGGAAGGCCTCTCTTAGGAGGTCGGACCTCCAGAATGAGAAGGAGCCTGCTCTGCAGAGTAGAGAAAGGAACCTGCCTTTGTCATGCCCAAGTAGGAGGTGGCCCGCCCCCTCCAGGACCTCATCCCCACCCCCACCCCTGAAGCACACAATACCTGGACGATATAGAGGCAGGGACAGTACTGGGCCCCTCCTCCAATGCTGATCCCGATCAGGTTCTGAGCATCCTTCTGCAGGGTCACCTTCCCAGGCACCGTAGGGATCCCGCTAGAAAGACAAGCACCTGAGGCTGAGTCTCCGGAGGAAGCATGACTGGAGGGACGGGGAAGGGGACAGGCCTTCTAAAACCCCATGAGGCTCCAAATGCTGCACAGCCTTTTCTTTCACCTTTGGCCAGAGGGACAGCATTTTGTGCTGGAATGTGCACAGCT